CGCGCGCTTTCAACAATGCCTTTGCTTCAGGAATCGACATCCTGAAGATATTCCATCGATTACTACGAATTACTTCGATTACCGCTACGCAAAACTTACGATGTCAGCGCATTTTCCAGGGAAGCAAAATGTATTGGCCAGTCATTCATTTTGAAATCTGCTGCGAGCTGAAGCGCGTCCGCATACATCATTTCATCATCTGACCTGAATCGAAATCACATCTTTTGAAGAATATTTTAAAAAATAATGGAATATGATAAGCCACTAACATTGCCAATCCTATGATGGTTTCTGTCCGATACTCTGAGTCTTCAACAAAACGCTCACGATCACAACCTAATAACGAGCATATAGAATCTTTTCATCGCACACGGCATGTGAGAGTTCTTGCCAGTAGGCAGTCGAGACAGAATGTACCGTAATTGGATATCCTATCTAAGATCGTGACATTTGCATCTGACATGGATGTCTGGGAGATCAAAACGGAAGGAGGTACATGTTCTATGAGATTTTCATTCAACTGTGGTTCGAGGAAGCGGAGGGCCTAGAAACAAAACAAACTCAAGAAAATTTGTCTGAGCATCTCTTAAACAGAATACCTGCTCATATTTGAGCAAAAAATCGTTTTTCGTCCACTGTGGGCATTCATTTTCAGTCATAACTGTGCATAGGGCCAACGGCGCACTGATGTTTGTCAAGATAGCGGCCAACTGCGGAATAAAAGACATTAGTGAAAAAGTTTAAAAAATGCAGAAAGTGGCACCTCATTAGTCGGAATACCCGAGCATTCATTGAGGATTCGACAAGCCTTCTTCTCCGGCCGCAAGATGTACTGGCTAGTTCTTGGCTAAAACTAGATGGCGATTACGGTAGCCGTGACGATGACAGCCAGCTTACCCTCGCATACATTGCGTCGATCACTAGTTTGTCATTAATTTCCGGCTTCTCGTAATCATGGTGTTTCCTAGCTGCCCGATGGTTTTGAATCAGATCCAAAGTTTCCAAAAGTTTATCCTGCGGTGCATTCAAAAGAGCGCATGCATAAATATCGTCCATGACCTAAAGAAAATAAATGAAAGAGGAAAAGGCAAAGAGGTAGAAGGCTGATGACAGAAGGCAGAATACTTACCCCGGGAATGTAAGGAGAATCCATGATGCGCATACAAAGCTCATGGACCACGGGCAAATCGCGACCCTGAACCATTAGGCTTGCATGAGCAGAACAAAAGATGGTACTGTAAACACCTTACCTTTTCTATGACTTTGTGGATGTATTTCTTCAAGTAACGTTCATCGTGCTCGACTAGAGCTGACAATGCACATAAAGAAAGCGCAGTGGCCACAGGCGTGTCTACACCAAGAAGTACTGCAAGTTTTGCGCATTTCTCGCCCTTAACATATTTATATGGTTAGAAACAATGCAACAGGATTTCAAATTTGAGGAAAATATGTCAGGGATAAGTAAAAACCGAGAAAAATTGCCGTTGAATTCTTACCTGCTTGTAATTGCCACTCATTTTCACAATCTCCTTCAAAAACTCGTATGGGTCAGCAAATCTGAAACGGTTGAGCTCAATGACAAACTAAATTTCAAAAGCACATACTTGATGGAAACAGGTAGAACATTGGATCCAAGCTCATGTGCTAGCTCTACAGTATCAAGCAGCTTTAGCTGCTGCGCGGCTGCTTTCGGGGCAATCTCCCGCGCAGCTTCTGCCAAGCTGCGCGATTGTAGCAATACTGGATCGTCAGGTCCGGACGCCTCTTGCATCATTTCTTCGCTTTTTCCGATAAGCGCCTAGATACAAGAACTACCTCGACAAAAAAGAATGAAAGAAAACATAATCACAAAAAGCCTTAAAGACAGTGTCCAGGCAAATTTGAGGGTATGGATTTTTTGCCAG